CCCGCCGTAGTTTTGCGAACCGATGGCGTAGCTTCTTGACCTTCACAAGTGCTTGTAACAGCCTAGACTGAATAAATGACTTTTCATTTCATTTCATTTCATTTCATTTCAATGACCAACCACTGTGAAAGTTGCTTAACTTCAACGATTGCAGCCGGACGCCATCAGGCTCCTCCAGTAAGTTAAATAAGAGACTTTTAGCTTTTTGCTATTCCTAAAAATGTATCACCAAAATAAGTTAAAGTATTTGAATATTCTGTTGGGATTTTTTTTTCTATAACTACTGCGATCACTACATAAAACACATTATGATTTAGGATTTAAAAATATTACTCACTCTTTAGTTGATAAATTTTGCCGTCCGTTTTGAGAGGTGCACAAACAAACAATAAGTACAATTTAAATTAACTTTTTTAATTGCGACTGAATCAAAAAGAGGCAAAAAATATGCCCCGTAATAATTTCCTAATAATTAAATTTAAACATCGAATGTATACTTTTTTTCTTCGAACCAATCACAAGCTGCGCCGTCACGTTGCCAGTATTATAACGAAATAAAAAAAGAGAAAACTAATTTTACACCACTTATTTGGAGATCACATTGCCGATGCGTTTTTGTTTTATACGAAAAAAAAATGAAAATTATTCGATTTTCGAACGCGCGCAGCGTTTCTCCCGCTGCATTTTCTTGGCCGACTGCTCGACGACGGACGCCTTGGTGCATGTGTGCTCCAAGGTTATTTTAATCGACGCGGCGTTAGGAATTTATTGAACTTTAATTATAAACATGCATTGGTTGACAATTGCTTGCATGGGGGTTAAGTAAGAGCCAATTTATTGCAACTCGCGTCTTCGTTGTTACCAACTCTGATATAAATTGACAGGTCAGATGAAACAGGAACATGTTTTGTCTCGCATCATTTGGTCTAGCACCATGGTTGGTAGTTTAAGGCTTGTGTTAATATTCATCATACATTTATTATAAGAGGGAGAGAGACAGTAAAACAATACCACCTTTTGGTGATCTTGTGTTTCTATCGATGTGTAAGGTTCCAGGCCTCCACGGGGTAAGGAATTGGGTCAGGGTAGGCTTTTGATATAAAAATGCCCCTCCCAAGTTCGAACCTAATACTCAGAGTAGGTTGTCTACCTCACTAGTCCTTTCGAACCAGTCCTGTGATGGGACAGGTGGGATGATTATATCCCACCTAGTCCCATGAATGCGACAACTGATACCAATATATCTTATTTGTTTCTTAGGTTTTCACGCACATCACTCATTAAATAAAACTAGTTTAAACGGGATAATGCACGAAACTTTATTTATTTATTGACGTTTCGTAGCCTTTCCAGGCTTCGTCGTCAGAATAAAACTTTTGTTTAATTTGTCGAGCTACCTTCGAAAGACTTTTATTGAGCGTTTGGTTATTTCATCGTTCGATTTTTAAGTTTTATTGTCTATGTATGAATTTATTATTTAATTTACTTAATAAAGTATTTTATTTAAAATTCTTGTTTGTAATTTTGCGTTTATTTATTTGACCCTAACTACCGTAAACTACCACCGGTTCCAAAATTGGGAGACCTTCCTGAGAAGAACCGGCGAAACAAACTCAAGAGAGGCTTTCTATCTCCTTCTTATGTTAAATTATGCAAACAAAAAGAACTAATAGTATCTGATGGTCTTGCAGTATGTGCTCGGGGTTGGGATTTTATCTTCTTTTATTTTATCTTCTTCTCTCTTCTCAGGAAGGTCTCCCAATTTTGGAACCGGTGGTAGTTTACGGTAGTTAGGGTCAAATAAATAAACGCAAAATTACAAACAAGAATTTTAAATAAAATACTTTATTAAGTAAATTAAATAATAAATTCATACATAGACAATAAAACTTAAAAATCGAACGATGAAATAACCAAACGCTCAATAAAAGTCTTTCGAAGGTAGCTCGACAAATTAAACAAAAGTTTTATTCTGACGACGAAGCCTGGAAAGGCTACGAAACGTCAATAAATAAATAAAGTTTCGTGCATTATCCCGTTTAAACTACCAATATATCTTTTTAAATCATGGATGCGAAGCCGGTTATTAACCTCCGGTTACTTTACCGCATTGTATGCTTGTTACTGTTAACAAGCAGTCCTAGATGGCGCTAGTCTGTTGTTACGGTAAAAAAGCACTGCTAGATGGCGCTAGTCTGTTGTTACGATTAACAAGCACCGCTAGATGGCGCTAGCCTGTTGTTACGGTTACCAAGCACCGCTAGATGGAGCTAGTCTGTTGTAGGAGTTACTAAGCACCGCTAGATGGCGCTACTGGCTTGAAATGCGCAGTGCGAGTCTAGGGGTGGAAGCGCTATCAAGATCCAAAATTACTGACTTTACTGACCAAAACTTAATGAAATACTGACTTTTACTAACCGTTTTCGCATACCCTTGCACTCAAAAGGCGCTTTGCCGTTTAAGCAAGTTGAACCCTGGATGAAGCAAAAATGCAACACAGATAAGAATTATGTCAAAAGTATCATTAAAAACTTTTTAACAAAAACAAAAAAAATTTCTTCACTACTTTTTGTAAGCCCCGAGCAACATGAACTAAATCCTTATAGAAAGCTCATTCGATTTATTTAATCTCTTTTAATAAGTGCTAAGTTGAACCCAATACTCTGACATATTTCACTAGCAAACTAATCGAATTCAAATAGTTTGCAAACCGAAATGTCAATGTAAAATTTTGTATGGAAACTTGAACAGCAGCGGCACAAAGTACGTAGGTAACGAGAACTAAAAATCAGTACACATTTGACAATGACATTTCGGACTCGCAAATGACACGAATTCGATATTGGTTCGTGCTAGGGGTACTGATCGTGATAATTTTTCGATTTGCTTTAGTATACCAGGCGATTACTAAAATACACACATCAAAAGTGTCTAGGGATCAAGCATTTTTATGCGGATTTCTTGAGATTGAGATGTGGCTTTGTAATAAATTTATGATTTTATAAATTTATATGGATCCTTTTTGGTGCATTTCATAATTTGAATCAGGAACTGTGAATCAAATTCGAGTAAAAGATGAAAATCAGCTGTCAATATTTTCCCTATAAAAACATACAACGCATTGAAGACATTATTAGTGCTACTGTTTCCCTACTACTGATTAAAACCAACGTTATTATGGAGCGGCGACGTCATTTAAGCAGGGAAGAAATGCTCAGAGCCGTGGGAATGATAGAAGCTGGTTCCCGGCAACGTACTGTGGCTTTAGCTCTGAATACAAGTCAGAGTGTTATCAGTCGACTTTGGACACGATACCGAAGCACTGGTACCGTGGCTGAGCGCCATGGAGGACGGTATCGCTGCACCACACGGAGACAAGACCGATACATTCAAATCTTAACTCGAAGAGCTCCAACAATAACCGCCATGATGTTAGCCGTGAGGCTTCATCACTCTTCAGGGAACTTAATTAGCGACCAAACAGTCAGAAACCGCTTGCATGAAGTGAACCTTCATTCCCGAAGACCGCTACGGGTACCACCTATAGCAATGCACAATCGTAGGATTCGATATCAATGGGCTCTTGAACACAGAAATTGGGCAGAAGAACAATGGCGTTTCGTGTGCTTTTCTGATGAGTCTCGTTTTGGTATGAGACCGGATACAAGACGTATAGGACACTGGAGAACCCCTGGACGCCAACAGCGATTAAAATCCTGCCAGGAAGTCCATCCTTATAGTGGTGGAACCATCATGGTATGGGCGGGTATTTGGATCGGCGGAAGAACTGAGTTGATTTGGATCAGAGGCAACCTCAACGCTCAAATTTATGCTGAGACGATTGTATCAGACGTCATCGTTCCTCTACAAGTGCAAATCGGTCCCTTATTTCAGTTAATGCATGATAATGCACGACCGCACACCGCAAGAGTTGTAAGACAGACTCTCGCCGCAGCTAACATCAATGTCCTGCCCTGGCCTGCTCAGTCGCCAGACTTGAACCCGATTGAGCATGCATGGGATATGCTACAGAGAAGAGCTCTGCCGAATATGGAGGGTATCCAGTCGCAAGAAGACCTTTTTTTGTTGTTGCAACGAACATGGGCGGCCATTCCACAGCGTGATTTGGATGAACTCATTTTGAGTATGCCAAACCGATGTTCTTGTGTTGTTAGTGTTCGCGGTAGAAATACGGATTATTAATTGTTTAAGTTACCCAATAAAATTTTAGAGAAAACTGTTATTTCAGTCTTTTTTTCGAACTTTTGTGTTAGTGGTTCAAATGTCAAAAATCCCTTTATTAGGAAAATGGCAAATTTCTTTATTAATGCAAAGGTGACTTGGTTTATCGTTACTGTGACAAACGAAAACACTTTATTTGATGAATCCTTAAAGAAAATTTTAATTAATATCAATCAGGAGAAAAGTTATTGCAAAAATATATGTTGATCCCTAGACACTTTTGATGTGTGTAAATTTGAAAATCGGCCCTAAATTTCCGGAGATTCGTTTAGCAACTAGCAAACATACAATAAAAAAATGTCTTATTGCGAACCTCATCCTGTTTGAAGTCAATGTTCAATCAAAAGTATTGTTGTAGGTATCAGTTTGAATTATTAATATTTCATCATCATCAGCCTATTAATGTCCCCACTGCTGGGGCACAGACCTTCCCTATGGATGGAATAGGGAGATTGAGCCACGACCCACTACGCGGGCCCAGTGCGGATTGACGGGTGCTAACGACCGCAGATGCAGCCGGGACCAACGGCTTAACTTGCCTTCCGAAGCACGGAGGAGCTCGAGGTAGTAAATTTTTGGTCACCCATCCAATGCCCGATCACTGCGAAAGTTGCTTAATTTCAACGATCGCAGACGAACGCGCTAACCACTTGTGCCATCGAGCTCCTCACACAAATGGATATTTAAAGAAAATTACACATTTCTATACTTTAAATCTTTGCAACAAATTAAGAAGAAATTAAATCTGTAATACTGACCTTAGTTTTATGGAAACGATCCAGTTTTCAAGTTCATAGACTCATCATTTATCAATTATTTAAAAGTTTTCTTTACTCGTTTTTTTTTAATTTTGTCACTACTACTCAATACTGGTTAAAAAAAAAACAAATTTTCAAATTCGGAACATCAGAAAATTCGCTAAGCTGTCTCTACACTAACACTCCTTACGATTTACAATAATAAAACAAATTTATTAATATACCTAATAAATGAATAATGCTATCAAATAAGAAAGATTAATTAAACAACAAAATAGGTACAAAACTTTACACTCCGTTTGTTGACTTTATTTTTTAACCTTTAATCTATCTGTAGGTACATGACATCCAAATGGAGAAGCTGTGTATACTACTGATCCCGAACAGTATTCAGCGTGTGCGATGAGACAAAATGGTTATCTGAAGGCATATTCTGCAAATATAAGCCTAATTTAAAAAAAAACAGATATTTTTATTGAAGGAGTTCCATTCCCGTAGATAATAAAAAAAAAATATAATAAAGAAAAAAAGCTGAGATTTTTTTGTAGAAAAAACTTTATTCCCCTAGCTAGATAACAAAAAAGTTCAAAGTACGAATTTCTTTTTGAGATACACCCATCATTGCACATCATTTATTTCACTTGTACACATTGTTTGATACATACATTTCATCATGTTAATTGAAGACTAAGAAATTTTGTTATTAATTACACTCATGTACTTTTCAAGAAACCTTCCAAGGAATCTTTAAAATTAAGTAAACAGAGTTACATAGCTACTTTCACATTTATAATGTCTGTATGTTAACTGGAAATACCAAAATGTCTGATAATGAAATGAAATGAAAAGTCATTTATTCGGTCTAGGCTGCTACAAGCACTTGTGAAGGTCAGCTACGCCATCGGTTCGCAAAACTACGACGGGAGACCTTGTACTGAGAAGAACCGGCAAGAAACTCAGCAAGGGCTGCTTTTTTCTCCCTGTATTGATATATACAGAGTCGTCAAGTTGAAAAATGACTTCAGAGATACTTCTGAAGTCACCTTCCATTACATTATTTAGGATATAGATATATAGTTACAATAAATTTTATATTACGTATATAGGAAGCAGTGGCGGCGCTAGACCACATGTGGACATCGGCGACATCAAATTCGCGAGGCCTATTTTACTTCGCAGTTAAAAACCGTTAAATTAAGTGAGCCAAATTATAAAATAATGTATGAGTAAACGAGTTTTATTGTTGATAATCAAATGATGACAAAAAATAATTACAAACATAGAAATTTAATTACAAAAATAGTGTTGCCAGACAGACGATTCTGAATACCCGTAAAGTTCTACTCGTTTCCATCACGCACGTGTTCAATAAAAGTCATTATCTTAGCTTAACTTTTTCCCCAAATTGTTCGGGGTCGGCTACCTAAGCCAGGCCAGCCCCTCTAGCATGACCACCGAAACGGGATATGATAAAGCGATATATCGGCATTAACTGTCAGACTACTATGGAGTTTGACAGTAGTTTGACAGTTAATGTCGATATATCGCTTTATCATATCCCGTTTCGGTGGTCATGCTAGAGGGGCATAATATTTAGTATCACCATTTCATTTGTTTGGGCACCGCACCGGGCTCAAACTAAGCAAATCTTAAAATATGGTGAATTGACAATTTAATAGGCAATTAATAGCATAAAATACTTAGGATATCTTTTTATTTGTAATGTAACGATACGATTATACGTTTTAACGATCATCAGTCATCACACAGTGAAATACCTAAAACAACCTAGAACAGGAATTTGAACCTAGAAACTTTTGGGTAGAAATTGCCAAAGGTCAGATTAGTAGAATAAACCTGCTTGTTACACATAAACAATGTAGAGATAAAGACGTAATGTGTACCTACTCATACAAAAAAATGTAGTCTGTCTGTTACATCTGAAAAGAAATAAATATGCAAATAAAATGTTTTTATACAAGTAAAGTAATAGACCAGGCAGCAGACGGGATTCGAACACCCCCCGCTATCCGATTCTTACTACTACAATTGGTTGACTTTAGATACTTTGGATGTTTCTTTATATATAAAAATCTAGCAGTTAAATGCTTTAAACAAAATATATAATATATTTTTATAGCACTTTTGCAAGCGTGATCATAGCGCTTGCAACAGTGCCGAAATATCGGAGACTCATAAAAAACAAGGTACATGGTAACAATCCCGTTAATAGCTATAATGTTAGTGACCATGAAAGTTTATAACAATATATAATATTATACTTGTTGAATCCGCATACGTCGTACGGGTTAAAATAATTTGGAAGAAATGACGGACCCGAGTCTACCGTACCAAAAGGGACGAACGTCAAATGTTTGACAGGAAAGAAGATAGAACAGTTTATATGGAAAAATTAAATTGAAGTTATTTCTATCTTCCTCGCAATGTTTCCATGTTTTCTCACCTTTTAAACCTTCCCTAGAACTCCATAAACATTTCAAGACCAAGATAAGATAAATACGTTCAGTCGTTCTCGTGTTTTAGCGAGAGTAACTAACAGCAATTGATTTTTATATATATCTATATATATAAAACTCAAAGGTGACTGACTGACATAGTGATCTATCAACGCACAGCCCAAACCACTGGACAGATCGGGCTGAAATTTGGCATGCAGGTGGATGTTATGACGTAGACAACCGCTAAGAAAGGATTTTGATCAATTCTATCCCCAAGGGGATAAAATAGGGAATGAAAGTTTGTATAAAATTTTATCAGTTTTAAACCGATAGGGCTGAGACTTTGTTAATTATATGAAGAGTCATTTAAATCTAAGTACACAACAGCTCTACACCGAAGCGAAGCGAGGGCGGGCTGCTAGTATAATATAAGGTTTTTGAAGTTATACTTCTGCATTTAGGCGCGTTATAAAAAAATTATGAGGGTGAAAGGACATCGACGAAATCGGCCCTAGCATGCCCAAAAGAATGTCCTTCACTATTATTTTTCTATTATTTTTTTAACTTATTAGCAATTAATCATAGTGAACGGACAAAGTGTTTAAAAAAATAAAAAATAAAAGTTCTGTTACTAGATACACTGTATCTGTTCATCCAACTTGGCACTCCTTTTTATTGAAAATACAGCATTAAAAATCAACTGATAACTGGATTCAGTCTTTAATAACGTTTTATTTTAATAGTTTATTGGCTTCGTGAATATTTTATTATTAAATGGGTGATTCTGTTAAAAAGTTGTGCCAAAATTGTTTACAGGCGACCATAGGTATTTATCAACATAAAAATAGAACTAGGTACCTTAGTTAACAATACTTATTACTAGTATTTATATTATATTTATAAAAAGATTATTTCTGAAATTATGTAAAGATAGTTTATACCCCCATGTAATATATGTTTATTTTTATAAAAATCATAATGATAACCAGGTACATACCTAATTACCAATAGTAAAATATAGAAACAGGTAAATGGAAAGCCTTTGAACATTTCATTTGAAAAGAAATCTATTATTACTACAGGTACCTAGGTATAGGTATCATAGGTGCCAACTGACAACGCTCATAAATCAATATGAATATAAGCATTTATTAGTTTTATTATTAATTGCATTTTATGTTCATTTAATGCATATTATTTAAGTGCTTACATAGAGGTAAACACTAAATCTATTCAGAATATATAAAATGTACATCTTTTACGATTAAGTATAATAATTATAACCTCAAAATCTAATACATTCTGTAGTAGGCCGCGGTTCCTCAAGTTGTCCGTATCTCAACAAATGCCTAATTAGAGTTTATAACTGATTCCGAACACAACTAGCATTTTCTCATTGCTGGGCGTTCTAGGGCATTCAATGTATGGGGAACGAGCAATGTCCTTTTAAGATGCGCGCGCATCTGTAACACAAAAAATTAACACCATGAAGTTGGTCGCTTTAGCGACCAACTTCATGTGCCGCGCTGCCATTACCGCGTCGCCCGCCGCACCGTACGCATGCGCGGCCACTCGCGGTCCTAGCGCGGGAAACACGTACAACAAACATCGGGAAAAGTTACGAGTTTTGAATTTAGAACAGAGACTGTTTTCATATCTATATATATAAAAATGAAACCCGTTTTCCGTTGTCACAACATAACATGAAAACGGCTTGACCGATTTGGCTGTTTTTTTTTGTAGTTTTCTAATACTCTGTACAAGGTTCTTACGGAAAAAAATATAAAGAAAATCCCAAGGGGATAAAATAAGGAATGAAAGTTTGTATGAAACTTTATCAATTTTAAACCGATCGGGCTGAGACTTTGCATGCAGGTATAAGAAGAATCATAGATGAATGTCATTGTGTATAATACAAGCCTGAGAACAAAAACTGTAGTCTACACTTCAGCTCTACACCGAAGCGAAGCGAGGGCGGGCTGCTAGTTTATAATATTTATCCACATGTTTCTAGTTTGTATATTCGGAATACGTGTTTGAGTTTCATACAAGTGCAAATCACATAATATGTTCTAATAAATTACATTCAGTAGCGATTTTAATTGAATATTTTGATTATTTATTTATTTTTTCAAATTAAAACTGAACTTTATTGACTGTGTCCTTTTCCAGACTTTTTATTAATTTATTGTAATTAATTATTTGCATGCAATTAAAAACTAATTTTAAACGATGCCAAAGAAGGATGACTTCTCACGCGCCTACATAAGTACACGCACCCATTTTTTTACACAAACAATAAAACGGCACATAAACGGACCGAGTAAAGTCAGACGTGAAACTTGTATAACAGTTCGATGATACGGCCCCCTGCATGCATGATATAGTGCAGCGGTCCCAGTTTACGTTTGATGGACCGTTTCCTACTAACCTTGTAGCTATAAACAAAATGAACAACAAAACAACTCAGGAAATTCTTTAAAACGAAGCTGCGAAGCTTTTTACTGGAAGAGACAATTTCGTTTAGTAGTTAGTTTTCATTATTATGTATTAATTTTATTTAGTGTTATTTTATTATATGTTTACGTATGTGTATGTTTATATATATATATATATACATGGTGTGACATAAGTCCGACATAAAACTTTAGGGTTTGGTTGTGTTCCTTGTATAGAATTACCTACGAAAGTTTGACGCCTTTCAGACCACTTTTATTTTCTAATTAAATTAATAAAAATATCGTTTTACACCTGCCTATGACAACCCTATAAATGCGTACGATTACTACTACCTCAACAGACCCCCCTCTCTCCCCCAGGCACCCCTGCGCCGCGCTCTTTTTTCGGAATTCTGTAACACCCTGTATATATATGTATGTATATGTATA